GGCTGGCAGGCTCCCCGCCCTCGGCGCTCGCCCTGGCCAGAAGCCACGCCACTCAACATACGTAGGCCCAGGCTCGAATTTCCCCCCCGCGAGCCTACAGGGACCAGCATGCACCGCGCCCGGAGTCGCTGTTGCCCCGCTTCTGCCTGCCTTCGGCTATTGTGCTGTGTCACGTCGGCCGGGCGGAATCGTGGAAAGGGAAAGGGAGGGGAGGAGGGAGGGGCTTCGGAGTCGCGGGAGCCTTGCGCCGTCGGCGTAAGGAGAAGCGCATCCTACGACGGAAGCGTGCTGCGCAACCGGCAGGCTGCGCTCCCGTAGAGCTCTTCTCCCGTTGCGTTTACACTAGAAAACCGCACGCGACGGCCGCCCGTTTTTAAAAGGTATTTTAACCCAGCCTCCGATGAGTTCGGGGACCAGCAAAGGCTCATTTTTGCGCGGAGACACGTGCCGGGCTGGTCGCTTGAGGCCAGGCGGGGGGCGTCCCTCCCCAAGCGCCCCGCCGGCGAGCCTTGCAAACGCGGTTTCGCTCCCGCGACGCGCCTCCCGAGCGAAAGGCTTAACACGCTCCCTAAAGTTCCTGAAACCTGGGTGGGAAAACCCGGGCTTGCTACGACGGCGGGGATGCGGGGCCCGGAGCCGCACCTCCGAGGCTGGCTGTCGCGGGACGGGCTTCCAGGGAGCCCAACGCGCCGGGAGAAAGGTGCTTTTGTGGGTGGTCTTAAAATAGCCTTGGCGGGGAAGGAGCTTATTCGTCCTGCCCGAGTTGGTTGAAAAAGGGGAGAATGCAGGGCTGCTCCGTGCGCACGACTTGCCAAACCGGGCTGAAGAAACCCCCCGTCTTGACGGCTCTGTTCACACAACCCGCGTCGGACGCTGCGGAACATCGTGCTTGGTTGCCCGAGTTGCCTCCTGCAGCAAACTCCTGGCTTGCACGGGGTTGGGTTTCTCCCTCGCCGCACGATCCTGAGACGGGATTTCACGGTTACCTTTTGTGGCATTCTTGCCGTAACCCTGGTTAGGCAGGGGAAATAAACCCAGGTCAGTGGGTCCGGACGTGGCGCGCTAGAAGAGGGGCTGGTCCACCCATTTGCTGTGGGGCGCCGTGACAAAGCAAGGACCAGAAACTCCCGGTCTTCTCCAAAACAGCCTTTATTTGCATTGACACTTTTAACAGTTATGTCCACAAACCTGTACAGACTTCTCTAAAAAGGTAAATATGAATTTGTAGAGTTAATATAGATGGGTATTGACAGTTGTTAAATATTATAAAAATAAATCCATTTCACTAAAGCCTTTTTTATTAATATCCTCCAACAGGTTCGTGTAACATGGATCAGGCAAAAGCCACAAGCCACAGCTGGCGTATTCTGCCCTGAAGTGCTCTTCCGGACAAGCCCCGTGGGAGTTACCTGAAGATGCAGCACGGCGGGGCCTGCTCAGCGAACCGTCGGAGGCTGCTCCACGATCCCACTGGTCCCAAATGGGGTCTGACCAGAGAAATTCCACGTGGATTGTGCCGTGTACCTTTATCATTATCATTATTTATTATTATTAACAGGGATTATTAACAGCAAAATAAAGAACACAAAACAGAACAGCAGTAGCAGCAGCAGAGAATGGACTGGGGAAATTAGAGCTGGTAACAAATGTCCGTGTGTAAGTGTGTGCTTTTTCTTCCTTTTTTTTTACAACATGCTATAAAAATCATACGAAAAATCATCTTCGTTAGAACCATTCGGTTTATAGGTATTTAAATATTGCTTTATTTTACAATTAAACCCAAACCACTTAAGAATTTTAAGAGGCAACGTTACAGTAGATTATCAAATGAAGAATTAAAACATGACATAAGGAGAACATCTACATTTGCAACACTAAAATACACAGAATACAACATCGAAAGACTGAAGAGCAACACAGGTACCTGAACTGTTTGGATTATTACAACAATTTCTTTTTCAGGATTACAGGCTACCTGAGTGTCAACAGCTAGTAATCTGAAGTTTCTAATTTTGGGTAAGAACTCTGAGAATCAAAGAAAAACTTTAAGAAACTAATTACAGATGGTCCTGATTCACATATTTGTACATTAACTTACTAAAAATAGATCTATTGTATGACTTAAAACTTATATTTATGAAGTAGGTTTTTAGTCTAATATCCTACTTCGAGGACCCAGGATTTTCAAAGATGCCTAAGAGAAAACACCCACATATTAATCCACCCCAAACTGTATGCAAGGTGCAGTAGTAATAAACTTAATTATGTTTATCAAACTCAGTCCATCAAAAAGGTGCAATTTCCACACTCTTCTCTTTACATTTAAAGTCTAATAAGGTAAACCAAATCGTTACTTAGCAGGAACTTACATGTTTTGTTCTATTTATTGTTCTAAAGCTATACTTTCCAGTTAATGTCCACTTGTCAGAGAATTTAATGCATTAGTAGTGTTTCCTAAATCTAGCATCTTGTTGAACTGATGTAAAAATAATGCTGCCAGCTCAGATGAGCATGTTGGAAGAGAGTGAAGACTAGCAAAGGTTTGTGGACGCGTTACATTCCTGCAGGATTTATTTCAGAATAGGAAGTTTCATCTTCATTTCATAGCCTGCTGGTGTCATGCTGTTCTAGAAATGGTCTGGGGTTAGTCTTCGTGGTTATTTCTTGCTGCTACTTAATGATAAGACTGTATTTATTGTGAAGTCACTCCAGTGGCCTATTGGCACAGCAAGACAAAGCCATGGATCCAGAGAGCTTTGTTTACTCCAGTGTCACAATATGGCACCGGGGACGTCTGTGTGGAATTCTTCCCAATGCTGAGGTGTGAGGGGAACACCACTGTCTGCAAGTTAAAAGCTTCGGGTGTCAACCTATAGCCCTGGAGTCCAGCTAATGTATGCGTGAGCCTTAATTCAAAACAAGGTACCAAGGTAAACACAATGGAAGTAAGCAGCCAAGAAAATAACTATTTTTCCACATAAAAAAATATCTGCTTTAAGTTAATACCTATTTTAACATTTAACATGATTAATTTTAAAAGTGCTTTCCCCCTCCCCCCCTGGAAGTGTCAAATGTAAGGCAGTGCTCAGGTTGTGAAGATGGTGCTTATAATAAGTGCAGGTAAAATGTAAACAAACTACATGACTATCTTTTTCATAAGGAAAAAAATATTATAATTAAAGCTTTCAAGGTCATCAAACGTTAGTGTGCATTTTAATTCTAATCTATTCTGTAGCATATTTAGAATAGTACCCTGCAATAGGTTAGAAATGAAATATACATATGTGGGAGAACAGGCTTGCAGTTTAAGAATTATTTTCCAGTAAAATTAACCATTTTCAAAGAAACAAATTAGCTAAGTTAAGCCTCCCACTATTTCTACTGGACAACAGATTTTCTGCAGCCTTATTTCACATCTTTGAAATGCAAGGCTCAGCCAGTCACCAAGTCATAGACATATGCCTCAGCTGGTATAGATGAGTCATAAAGCCCTAATTTAAATGTATTTTCAGTAGAGACTGATTATACAAAATATGCGATGAAAAATATTCACTCTTTCTTTAAAATCAATTTTAATTTCAATTTAAAATAACCGAAGATTGCATTTTCCTCCAACAGTATACTGTAATTTGGAAATATCCCTTGGAGTTTTTTTTTTTTAAATGTCCAACTGTTTCCAAAATTAATGTTATTCCTTCAAAATATTAATGCAACACACCTGCATTTGTCTGTATGCTCAAATTATGATACGTCTGGCTCAACCCTTTCCATAACGTTTACTAATAAAAGGATACAGTGACTTGATCCGGGGAGAAAAAGTTAGTTTCTATTATTCCCTACTTTCACATGTTTTTGGGGTTAGAGCTTGAAATAGTGTACCCCAGCAGCTGGTCTTTGTATAACCTTACTGTTCAGACACTGAGATCAGTGGATTACAAGAGCAATATAAGCAGCCGATTCTGCAGTGGGGGTATAGTTGGAAAATCTACTGCTGGAAGATTCACTGTTTCTACCAAAAAATAGGAGAAGGGCCCAAGACTTTCTGGATTGGGATACATATTAGGCAAATTAATCCATAACCATAAAAATGCACACCGATTCATGGGAAACATATCAAGAAGGAAAGAGCCATATATTAAAATACAGTGAGACTAGTAGGATGCAAGGGATTTCAAGAAAGGGACTTAGCCAAGCACTATGATGCCTTGATACAATGAAGAAACATGAAGCTGCAAATTTAGATAACATAGCAAATTTAGATTACCAACAACATAAAATTAAGAGCTAACAATGTATTAAGTGCTTGTCCAAGGTAATTCTCTTGAAAGTGTACTTTATTGCCTCAAGTATTTTTATGGTATTTTTGTTTTGCTGGAAATATTAATGAAATGTAATTAAAAAGGCTGCAAATATTCCTGTACCATAGGCAAATGTTTATGGGACTAGAATCAAATCTTTAATCATGTCATTGTCCGTTCTAATCTATTGTGTTCTCACTAATTTACCATTGAACAGCAAGGTAGGTTATCTCCAATTGGGTAGATTTCACTAATTTAATAATCTAGCAAATATCACCCTGTTTATAAAACTTGCACACATTGTCAATAATGTTTGCTAGAAGTAAGAGAAAAGAAAAACCCTCTTTCCTTCTCAATTCAAACAGCTCAAGGGTTATATGGTTTTGACATGTTCAAAACAGCAAAGCCTAAACCAATTCTCAAGGAAATTCTACCAAGTGGAGATTCAGTAAAAGCTTCTATTGTATCATTCAGCTTTTGCCAGACTGAGAAACTGCTTTTCAAGAATCTGTTATCATGCAAGGAAGTGCTTCAGGAAAAAAAAAAAAATCCCCAAATGAATGTGAACTTTTGCAGATGTATCCGAGGCAAATTGAAAGAGGAAGAAGGATGCCCAAATTTGTGAATAAATGGGGAAATCAGTCTCCCAAAACAGAACTGGAAACAAACACATTTCTGAACAAAGCAAGAAGTATGATTTCTTACATGATATTTACATGACATCCAAGTTCCTATAAATATCCCCAAAGCCACCTGGGTTTTAAGACAAAACATTGTGAAACTTCAGACACACAAGAGTTTGTTGTTATCAACACTTACAAACCAGCCAAACATTCAATGGAGTAATTCCTTTAAAAAAAAAAAAAATCACAGATACTTCATTTAATCAATAAATCACAGTGCCCAAAGACTGAGGCAAAGTGCTCCTGAAAATTAAGCCTATCTCTACTGTACGATGTCAAGCTTTTAAAAGTTAGAGCATTCAAAGACTCCTGCGAATTTTAGTCCCTCTCGATTCTCGCTAGAAACTTTTGCAATAGGCCCAACTGTGTATCTATGATAATAACGTGTCCCCGTGGCCTCCAAGTTATGAATACTTAAGATATCTTTTATTGTTGATTTTTTTTTTAAAAAAAGTACCTATCTTCTCTTTTTTTAAGAAAGGAGCTATTTCCCCACCTGTACTAGCAAGTTAATTTTGGCCAAAAAATAAAATATGAAATGATAAATTGAAGGAAGCTAACAAAAACATGCAAGCATCTTTCCCCATTACATAATTTCACGTTGCAGCTTCAGGAAAACGAGTAACAGCACTTCAGTATTTTGGCAAATGTACATGACAAAACCTTGATCAGTGATTGATGATTTTCATTGCTTTAGGAAAAAAAAAAAATTCTTGTCATGACATAGCCCAATAGTCGCTGGACTCATTTAAGTCTACCAATTCTGGGTAAAAGAGCAACTGCATTCAAGGTTTCAATATATATCTGGACAGTCAAAGAAATTTCTATCAAAATATCCACCCGAGTATAACCAGTCAGCAGTCCCAGTATATGGATTAGTGCCTTGGTAAAACCATCTGTAGGGGGAAAAAAAAAGGAAGGTAGAAGAAAGGTAGTTAAATTCAGCAAAATAATAAGAGTAAGAATAAAAACCCTCCATGTGTAGAATGGGGGGATGAAAAGATACGGAGCTGTGTGCCAAAACCACATGTCATGCACTCCTCTGTTTTCAAAACACATCAATGGAGCAGAATTTTCTCCTTGCCTCTGGGGGCGTCTCCTGGTAACTCAACTGTTGGTATACCTCTGAGTTATCAACCTCCCTATCTCAGATTCAGCCCCAGCATTCCACTGTAGTAAACTACTTTGCTATTATAGAAACCTAGGAAGGTGCCTTAAATGGAGCCAAATCATGATTATAAAGACTGAGAACAACTGTCCAAGGTCTCAGACAAGCCATTTCATGACTAATCCACTGGAACCTTCTGTGTTAAGTATGTAGCAATGTAATAGTAATGGGGAACTAACTGTCTTGCTGATACCTTTCTCCTTTAGAGGATGGAGAAAGACACAACGGGATCAAGTCTTCTTGGATTGACGTTATCCAGTAGAAAATGCTTAGTTGAATAGCAGGAACATTTGGGGAAAATGTAATGCTGGAGTCCTTGATTTTAAGAGGAAGTACAGTTTTGTGTAGTTGAATGCATACCTTAGACTTCAAAATGGCAGGAGAAGCTAATGGGAAAAGAAGCTCCAGAGGATTGGGAATTCCTTAAACAA